AACTGGAGAGTGCGCAGATTCAGTTTGGAGACCACTATGAATATGCAGCATGGCTTTGCGAGAGACTGGATGGATTTGGGTGGACCACCCAACACTCGAGACTTTGGGTGAGAAAGTTGATGCCAATGCTACAAGGTTGGCAGTTCATGAAGAGGACACACGAGATGCCCTTACTGTTCTGGATGATGCAACAGATTGCATCAGATATGGTTTGATGGCGGATTCGTCCGAAATGAGACATTGAGCATAGTTTGGCGCAGTCAGATGTTGATACAGGAGTGTGGAAACTTCGTGCAGAGGACACAGATGAACCTGCGAGAGATCCAGCTGCACAGGCTGGTGAAGAAGAAACTCCAACAGAAGATGAGGAAGAGCATGGATCAACAGAAGGTATGTCAAATCTCATGGATGCCCTGCGTGATGCCCTGCGCAACAATCAAAATGTTGCGCTTGCTGTAGAGCTTTGGAATGATGCTGCACAAATACAGCGGGCATTGATGACAGTGCTTGGTGCAAGTAGTGGAAGAAATCCCCGAGGGATGACCATTGATATGATCAACGGCATCAGAAGCGTTTTCCAAAGACTGTTCAGAACATGCAGAAACAGAGGCAGAGATGACGGAGCTCAGGTTTACCGCAGATACATTGATGATCTCCATGGTGTGATGCGAAGATGGTGAAACATATGAAACATGAAAGGTTGGAGATCAATTTTTCAGAGAAAAGTTCTGGAAATTCGTCAAAGAGCAGGACAAAGGTCCAAGCCTCGCTCAGACCTTCGAGGAGGAGCGCAAACAATTTCCAACTGTACTGTACTCATGGCAAGGATGACACGCACAAAACGAGACGTAACAGTGCTTCAGATGCCATTTCACTTGTCACATTTCAGTTGCCACTGACACTAAGAGCATGTGAGAACATCTATGGTCGTGAGGCCCCTTCTGGCCGAAAAACGTGTGACCGTTTCCGCCCACTGTTTGCAAAATGACATCATGATACACCATGGATATCGACATGTTTGGACACGTTGGACACGTTTGGACGTCTTGAAGAAGCACGCATGTGTTGGACCCTTGAAGGACTTGTGTACGTAGTATAGTGTTTAAACTTTGTTGTGAGCAAGGTCAGACGTGCCTTCTGCAGATGCTTTGCTCCTCCTTGTGGTGTTCCGTGACTTGCAATGGAATTGGTTTTTGTGAATTTTGTGTTTCACCACACTTAAATTGCACAACACCGGAGCACCATCATCCGCAAAATTTGTTGCAACAAAGTAATCATCCATCCATCTATCTATTTATCTTATCTATCTATCTATCTATCTAATCTAACCTAACCTAATCTAACCTAATCTAATCTAATCGAATCTAATCGAATCTAATCTAATCGAATCTAATCTAATCTAATCTAATCCAATCTAATCCAATCTAATCTAATCTAATCTATCCTAATCTAATCTAATCTAATCTGATCTAATCTAATCTAATCTAGTCTAATCTAATCTAATCTAATCTAATCTTATCTATCTATCTATCTATCTATCTAATACAGTTATAAGTTATATATATAAATACGCATAGTCCCTTGAATAAATTAATCGTGTACGACTTTTGCTAGTGGGAGTTCATCTATTAACATCGATGTCATGTGTCATGTCATCTTGCCATTTCTTTCCTCTTTCGAGGCCATGATGTTGAAAGCACTGCGGTATCCTTCGAGTCACACGTCTTTGCTTCGGACAAAGCTCCACAGGCAGCGGCATGGTTTTTGAATGGAGGACTCTTCTTTAACGGCTTGATGGTTTTTGTATCTTTGAATTCTTTAGGTCAGCCGCTTCCTTCTCAGATGTTTGAAATTACATGCATGTTCACGGAGATGTGGTCCAGTTCATTTTCTATAGGTCCATATGGGCCGTGGTCAACACTTGGATAAATTGTCCATATTGGTGCATGGTCATCAATCCATTGATGATTGCTGATGTTGATTTATATATTACATAATTACATATTATATATTCGCAGTATACGATTACCATTGTGGGATGGATGACCATGAAAAAACTTGTATGAAACTGTTGCCTCAAGTAGCTGCGCTGCTCTGCACGCTGTGAGCGATGCACAAGGGCCCGCCTTAAATTTTCTTCGATCTTTGGTAATTTTGCTCTTCAAGAACCCAACTTTCCCTGCAAAAAGAGATAATTTCAAGAGTTCAGAGGCAGTCTGAGAGTGCCATGCGACCATGCTGTTGGTGCCGTTTTTGAGGTGCCTTTTATATCAAACGTTAAGTCTCAACGGGCTTTCACTCACGTCTCTCTTGACCGTTTATTTGTATACACATTCCTTTCACTGAACCACAAATCTCCGAAGATCTAGGATCGTAGTAGCACCTCCTAGACTCTCACAAATACTTAGGCAGAAAGCCATTTGCTTCACATGTTTGTTGTATCTGACATTTCATCTGTCTTATCTCACAGCTCGCAAGTCCGGAAACGTCTCCTGTGGAGAACCTCTCTTGATAGCAGCTGTATTCCAGGTGGCCATCATTGACACCTTTCTGGGCACGAGTGACTTCAAGAGTGAATCTGAGAGGCTTTTGTCATCGTCGCTGTTGAGAGATGCCTTTTCAATTTGCAAGCTGATCATGCAACATGCAGCTCGAATTCCCTTTGAGTGACACTTGAACACTCTCAAGTCTTGAAGGAAGTTGTTTTTTCATGCTTTGTCTGGGGAGTGCAGTCAGCACCCAGGCTAAGGAATTGAAGTGTGCGGGAACAACAAAATTTGTAGTGCAAATTAATGCCAAATTAGATTCGGGTTTTTGCGGGTTTACGTGAGTTCAAGTGGCAGCGCCAAGGCCAGTGCTGTGGGATGGCAATCAGACTGAGAAGCTCCGCTTCGGCAGAGTCACTGACTCAGTCTACAGGTACCGAATGTCACTGAATTTGAAGTGTTGATTTGCATGATATACTGTAGAAGGTATGTCATCGCGTTGTCGGCCTGCAAAGCATGTTTTTGATGCAATTGCAAACAGCACCAGGTTATTTCGGTGAAACCTGGAAAGTATTCCATTCGGCTGCAAAATGATGCAAATGAAACAGAGGCAGCGTGAAGTCCGGGCTTGGGTTTGTGTCTTCCCCCTTTCAGTGTTTGCATTCAACTCTTGAATGTGCAATGGAGCATTTTGATGAGTATTGCCGTGCCGCAGTTATGCCTCCTTCCTGCAGGGTTCGGCTTCGATGGAGACAAAAGAAGGCAAGCACTACGTGGTGCAAGACTTGGCTGCAGAAGCAATATATATATATAGCCTATATAGCTATATAATATACATTTATGTAAAATATGTACATAATATATATATAATAATATATATATAATATACATATATATATGTATACATATATATATATATGTATATTTATATATACACACATACATATATACATCTTATATTATATATACATATATAATATGGTATAATATAATACAATATAATACAATATAATACAATATAATATAGTATAAGATAATATAATTTGCTATGATATAATATAATATAATATTTTATAATATTATGTAATAAAATAAAATATAATATAATATAATATAGTATATTATAACATAATATAACATAATATGATATAATATAATATAGTATAATATAATATAATATAATATAATACAATATAATATACTATGATATAATATAATATAATATTTTATAATATTATGTAATAAAAAGTAATATAATATAATATAATATAGTATAGTATAGTATATTATAACATAATATAACATAATATGATTTAATATAATATCGTATAATATAATATAATATAATATAATATAATACACATATATATAGTTTAATATATAATATAAAATATAATATAGTATTTAATATATAATATATGATATGTGATATATGATATATAATATATAATATATAATATACAATATATAATATATAACATATAATATATAATATATAATATTTAATATGTAATATATAATATGTAATATATAATATGTAATATAGAATTTAATATGCAATATATAATATAATATGTAATATATAATATTATCTACACACATAAATATATATATATAAGATAATAATATATATATATGAAATATACATATCTATGTATATATAGTACATATATATATATTTTAATACATATATATATATATATATAATCTATATATAATATACATTTATATATAATATACATTTATATATAATATACATTTATATATAATATACATATATATATATAATATACACATATATAACATATATATATACATATAATATGTATATGTATATATATAATAATCATATACATTAATATATATATATATACATATTATATACCTCTATATATCATATACCTATATACATTATATACCTCTATATTATATAGAATAGACCTATATTTAATATACCTGTATATATGATATGCGAATATATGTGTTATATATATAATATAAAGTCTGTGCAAATATGGGCTTCAGACAATTCAACTGGCATGAACAGCTAACAGCTAAGGTCCTACGGCTAGGTGCCAAAGCAAAGCATGGTCCCAGCTTCCCCGAGGACGGAATGGGATTTTCTGAAACTTTACAGAGGATTCGGAGAAATCCGGGTTTCATTCATGAGCATGATGTATACAGAATGTACATATACATATATATATATATATCATATTTTTATACGTATTCCTTGCTAAAGATGAGAATCTTGATTGATTGGCTTTGGTCTAGTTATTCTATGTTTTGAGCATTTGTTGATGTTGGACGACCCTTTAGGCAGCACCTCACTTCAGGTATTTGACGTTGTTGTTCCTACTTGAGAGTTGGAACCCATGCAGGAGTTCTAGCTTCCTCCAGGAATGTCGAGATAGAAATGGGCCCTTTGCCGCAGCAATATAGCCTCGAGCGTGTTGCCAATTTAAGACTTTTTGACATTGCGTTGAAATTTGGGTTGCTCCTTGTTTCGCCCTTATGATTGCGAACATGAAGCAGGCCATCTCCAAGGCAGGGGATGCAAGTGGAAGATGACTCGCTATGACTTATTATAGAAATTTGTTGTAATTTTTATATTCAGATGATCAGTCTACACGTAGGAGGCTCATTCAATAAATTTCTGCATCAAGTCTCGAAGTTTCAAGGCATGCGGACAAGGCTTGGAGTTTTTTGCCCAGGGCTTCTCAACAGTTGCTCGCCTTCGACGGTCACAAGCTCCAAGAGTGGCGTTTGTGGCAATCACACCGGACAATCCAGAGACACCAGAAGGCACACCTCCGGTGTGTGCGGGTCTTATTTGAGAAAGTGGCTAAGGCTGACTGACTAGAGGTATCTACATGTATCTACTACATAATTCCATGGATTGAATCAGATACAGTCCCGGGACTGTCAGGATCCAAAACCGCCTTAAAAAGGAGTCTGCGTTGCACACAGACCGCTGCAGAAGACTGCTGCAGAGCACTTGTTTGCTGCAGGCATTTCCTTCAAAGAACTGCTCCTGGAAGGATCTATGACACATACGGCTGGGAATCTGATTTTCAGAGAGTTACAATGCCCAGCCAGTGCGAACTAGTGGGTGTAGATGGAGGGTAGATTTTGGAAGACCTTTGCGTCATGCAATAGTAATAGTACCACATTATGTCTATATAAATTAAGATATCACTTTGATGATCCGGAAACCATGGTTTGTACCATTCCAGTGACTTTTGCCACTTTGGGCGAAATTGTGGTTGTTTAAGATCGCAGTTGTGACATTTTCCAATTTTTCCTGTCTACTTCACAAGACCCATGGGGAGAATTTTACGCACAGGACATTTTGTGGAGTTGGAAGACAGCTTTCCCAGGAAAGTGACTGGCCTCGACGTTGCTCGTTTGCAAGGCATGATAACCTGAAGCCCTTCGGATCTGGGCAATGGCAATAGTGGGAAGAATATCATTGATATTTTGAATCTGTTGTCTTTCCTTTTTTTGTTGTGGTTGATTCACGACTCGTGACTCCAAAACGGTTCCAAAACGAGAGTTCTTGACTTTGCGGTGAAGTTTCATCATGTTTCATCAATTGCCAAGGACCAGCTTGATCAACCTGAGGAATTTGCACTTCCAGATCTTCCAGGCTCATTGCAGGTCCCGAGCCCAAGAACTGGAAGTGTTTCACCGATGGCCGTCTGCTGAAGGCATGTTTAAAGACACTGTATGCCAGGAGGATTGTATGCCATTGTATGCAATGTATAGGTCTTAACGTCGCTGCATTCTTCCTTTTTTCTGTTCCTTTTTGAAACCTCTCTGTGCAAAATGCGTGGGTTAGGATCAGCTGCATGTTTATCTTATCTTCACAAGAATAAGACGCGTCTTGCAGACAAATTGCACAGATGGATTTGCCAAAGCCAGGCCGGCTGGTTTTTGGATGTTTTTTTGCGTGCTGAAACCTGTAGATCTCTTCGGATGCCACGGCAATCTTTAAAAAAATGTCCGGGCGCGGGCGCGATGCTCCAGGATCCGGAGCAGCCGCATCGGGTCTGTTGCTTGGATCATGATGAGTTGTCCAAGCTTTGCGACAAGGCGGGGTACTCAGCAGATCTCAGCAGACTATTCGCCAATGCTCACCACATCTCACCATTTTTGGACGCCTCATCCGGAAAGATGGACTAAGGCTATGCAATTGGTGGATGATGATGACATCATGTCAACCGCCGGAAGTCGCGACGCAGGTGTGACTGCAGAAGAGCAGCAGTGTCAGTGTTCAAGCCGATCGCGTGCTTTGCTGGCTCTTCATATTCATACATAGCATTGCATAGTGTGTTTTTCCAGGCTTTGGGGGCTCAAAGTCAGACTAAGTCAGTTCTAGCAGCCAGTGATCCAATCTGATGTAGTTGAAAGCTGACTGTCGGTTTCTAGAGATGTAGGACTTTCAAGACGTGTTGTCGCCCCGCTTTGAAACCCAGACCTTTCTGTGGTTGCCACCCAGCTTCGACTGAGATTGGTCCAAGTGCGCTCATGCAAACAAGCTGCAAGGGGTAGCTATTCAAAGCACGAGAAGCAATTGGATGTTTTGAGCGGTATTTTGGAGTGTTCTACGATATCTAGAGCTACATAAGTGGAAATTGTTGATGTGAAAAAAGGCTGGCATCACCTGCCAGTTCACGCTAAGTTGTTTGGCCAGCGAGGGTCAATCTTTTTTTGGTAAGTCACCTCAGACCCTTCAATACTCAGGAACCACCAAGATTTACTAACGCACTGGTTTTCGCACCAGGGACTTTTCTGGGCTGGACGTCAGGTCAGTGAGCCGCTGCTGCTTCGGGGACACAGAGAGATGCGTCCCACGAAGTGCCAGTTGGAAAGGATTTAGAGATATCATGGTCTCACCATGTGCGATGGTCTCCAAAATCTAGCTACTGGGAGAATTGACCAGTTTTGCCTCGCAATGTTTGTGGTCTAACTGAAAAAGGGCCAACAGGCCCGAGGCCATGAAATCTGCGTTTCTGTTTGTCTGGCAGTTTGTCCAGTTGGAGTTGAAGTGACTCAATGTGTCACTTGATGAGCTGGCGCGAAAGTGACGCAGAACTTTCCTTTCCAACTAAAGTCGACCTTCTGGTTCTAGGGCTGCTATATACGTCTACAATGTTGAAGACTAAATGGCAGAAACTTCAATGCATCTGACCTGTTGGTAGGGGATTTGCTATCATTTACTTCAACTTTCTCCCTTGAGCGGGAAAAGTGTTAAATTGTTGCTCCATCACAAAGAGTCATAGAACAGCACTTCCAGCGAAGCACTTTGTGGTCCTTGAACTTGGCCTGAACGACTGTCCTGTCGTTTTGGCTGTTGCCTGAACACGCTGTGAAATTCGTCACAATCTTCAAACTTGTTGGCATGGACAACATAGGCCTTCAGAGTGTGCGGTGACCATTTTGGTTTCAAAAAAAGATTTGTGTTTGATGGATACAGGTTTGGACCAACAAATGGCCGGATGCATGAATAGATGGATAGAATATTCTTGTCTGCGCTCATTTGATGGTTCATGTGCTGTGGCTAAAGAAAGCTCATACACTTGCAAGAGTCTCAAGCTTTGGTATTCTTAGTCACTTTCGCGATTCTGCCCTAGAGCTCCCTGGAGTTTCAGCGAACTGACTGACCTTTAAAATTTAAGGAATCACGGGATAATGAGTTGCTTCTTGGTTTAAACATAGCACCTGGGTATTGAGCCTGGTGCAAGGTGGACCCAAGATGCTCCTTGTCATCATGTCGCAAGCTTTTAAATATTTTTCTTGTCTTGTTCAGTGGTACCATGAATGATGACAATTCCTATGATCAGTCCTACAGTTTGGGCGTGGCTTAGGAACAGAATCTGAGCCCGCAGCATTTCTGTATGGCAGGACAGGTACTGCCGATGTGGTAAGTATTCCACAGCTTTTTGCACCTGAAACGCTGAAAGCAAAGCTGAGAAATTAAGGTGGCGCATTGGTTTTGTGGATCTCCAAGTTGGCGATCCTAGTTGCATGAAAGCACTAGACATTTATTGCGCAAGGACCAAGGAGACTAATGTTGAGGGATTTCGTCAAGATCAAGCAGACCAAACGATACAATTTTGTTGCTGTGGGAATTTCCGGCTTTTGCAAGGCATGAACCTGCTCCTTCTTGATGCCCTGCATTGGCGGTCGAATAGCCGTATGCCAAAGCAAGGGTTTTCGAGAGAGAAAAAGGCAGCTTTTTAAGATGCGCATGCCAAGCTGCGGTTGACGAGATGGCAGACTGCCGGATGGCAGACTGTGGTCAAGTGCAAGCTGCTTTCCACATCCACTAGACTCGGGTTGTGTGCAATGTGGATCATTGCACGAGTCTAGGGCGCTTCTGAGATAATAAGTGTAACTTATTTTATTTTTTCATTTGGGGGTTGGCTCTATCACATCCCCCGAGGGACATACGCCACAATAATCTGGACCCTGCCCATCATCAAAACCTAGTTCTAGTGCGTTCCACACATATATATATACACATACAGACATACAGACATACAGACATACAGACATACAGACATACAGACATACATACACACATACACACATACACACATACACACATACACACATACACACATACACACAGACATAACATAGATAGATAGATAGATAGATACATAGATACATAGATACATCGATACATCGATACATAGAAACAAGATACATAGATACATAGATACATAGATACATAGATACATAGATACATAGATACATAGATACATAGATACATAGATACATAGATACATAGAATAGATACATAGATACATAGATACATAGATACATAGATACATAGATACATAGATACATAGATACATAGATACATAGATACATAGATACATAGATACATAGATACATAGATACATAGATACATAGACATAGATACATCGATACATCGATACATCGACACACGAACCGATACATAGATACATACATAGATACATACATACACATACATAGATACATAGATACATACATACATATACATACATACACATACATTACATACATATACATACATATACATACATACATACATACACACATACATACATACACACACATACATCACATACATACACATACATACACATACATACACATACATACACATACATACACATACATACACATACATACACATACATACACATACATACACATACATACACATACATACACATACATACACATACATACACATACATACACATACATACACATACATACACATACATACACATACATACACATACATACACATACATACACATACATACACATACATACACACATACATACACATACATACACATACATACACATACATACACATACATACACATACATACACATACATACACATACATACACATACATACACATACATACTAAACATAACATAACATGACATAACATCACATAACATAACATAACAATACATACCTACGTACCTACGTACCTACGTACCTACGTACCTACGTACCTACGTACCTACGTACCTACGTACCTACGTACCTACGTACCTACGTACCTACGTACCTACGTACCTACGTACCTACGTACCTACGTACCTACCTACCTACCTACCTACGTACCTACCTACCTACCTACCTACATACATACATACATACTCATACACTATGCAGAAACATGTATGTATATTTGTATGTCCGAACTATTTTCAGGCAATGTCCACTCAGGGTATGTGAAATAAGTCCCTTCGATGTAGTAACATTGTTGCAGTGTTTGCCGGTTTTGCCATGCTGCTTGAGCAAGACTTTGGCGAACAATCAACCATGTACTATACTCTTTGGCTGCCCAAACGGATCACTAAACGATTGCCGTGCAGCTCCTATGCTTGTGAGATTGGGCGGAGAAGGACAAATCTTAGTTTCATACAGGATCAACAGCCATGAGCCATTTCAAAATGATGGACATCGTGTTGATGTTACTAGGATTGCATGCTCAATCGCACACTTGACTCTTTAAATACAATTTCATTGGATCCTTGATCATTGGAAGAATTATTTAAATCCAGATCAATCGGAGAACTTGGACCTGTTTCCTGACCAAAGGAACACGGGTAGGATAGCGGTGACTGCCGGGAGCTGGTCATGATGCTTCACCCTGAGTCTGTAATGGCACCACGCTGTTAGAGGCAAAACAACACTGGAGCTTGCGCACAGGTTGGTGAGACGTTGCAATTTGCTGCGACTTGGTGCTCCAAGTTGCCCCAGTGCTTTCACAATCCCTTACAGCAAGGTCCTGAAAAGGTGATCGAAATGCCATTCATTGACAAGCAAAACCTGGTGATGGTTCAACTTGATATGTTGCAGCTAGAGATGGACGAAATGTCTATCCTTCCCTCATCATACCACAGCTTCATCGCATAGAGCAGGTATGATGAGCTGGACACCCTCCAGAAAATGGAAACCTGATCGTTCAATGGTCCCAGCGTCTAATCGCATTTCAATCAGGGTTTGCTCAGTCGGACACACACACACACAAACATACACACTTGCTCAGAACCAGCATTGCGAATTCTGATGTGGAATGCATCGTACGTGCAAAAACACTTCAGTTAAACCTGACAGGAAATATTTGGTGACCAGAGGCGAAAACCCGTAGGAAGGTAATCTTTCCGCGTCCATACTAGATGCAACAGTTTCATCAGAACCAAATCGTGATCTTCCATTTGTTCGACATGCCGGTTCTGGGCTTAGCCGGTTGCCATTGACGACAAAAAGGAAATAGAAAATTGCAGGTACGTTTTCCTGATCATCCAGTGTGGAGCTTCTTTGGCAGAGGCCACATCTGGAGATCCCCCTGCCCCCTGCTGAAATTGATGTTCTGGGAAGATACTAACAACAGCAGAATAAGAAAACCACGAGCGTTCCGTGTTGAAAATGAGACTCAGAGAAATTCAAGAAACTGCGGAAAAAGAAACTTCGAGTGTTAGAAGTTTTACATCTCTTCAGATGTTTCACACACACACACACACCCTCCCGCAGGAGGGTGGAAAATTAAGGCCCCGACCATGAAATGATAATGAAAAAGAGAGGAAATGAAAATGAGATGAAAAATTACTTAACCAGGACGCGAAGAGGGGAACGCAAAAGAAGAGGGAAGGAGAAAACACCAACACATGAAATCTAGCCCAAAACGGGCAACCCTGAAAAGGCAAGGGAAAAGAAAAACGGAGGCAGACGGACACGGGACAAGACCAGCGGAGGGGGGAAAGGACGGACGCGCCTGAACCAACCTACCACAGCGAAACCTACACCTACCTAAGCACGCGCAGAACACAACCTACCTGTAGAGAGGAGAACGCAAGAACACATGAGATAAGGGACCCATGGGGGACTAGTTGGTGAATATGCATCCACATTAACATGCAGATTCCCCTCGTTGAGGCTCAATGGCCAAATTTCACGTCAACCCTATGGACGGCTTAAGTTGTCAACCCCTGAATTACGTGCACATTTGAACCTCGCCAACGACCAAAAAGAAAAAAACACCATACCTGCAAGCATGTCCTTTTTGCCTGATCATGTGAGCATGCCTAACATGTGGTCAGTCTCTTGAACAGCACTGAAAAAAGGAAGTGATGTTGTCGCAGCTTCCAGCTATGCAGAGCAAAGTGAACGGCGAAAAAAGTTGAAGCCCAGTACTGCGGCCAGTTGTTCAACAAATTGACATCGACAGGTGTGAGAAGGAGAAATGGCCAGCTGTTTCACTTTACTTAAACGAATTACTAATTCAAAAGTGTAAATTCAGACATCAGGTTGTTGCATTCACACTTTGCTTAGACAAGCATGCCCCGAAGGGTTCATGCCACCTTGACGAATCCAGCAAAAAACCACACACTTGCTCAGAACCAGCATTGCGAATTCTGATGTGGAATGCATCGTACGTGCAAACACGTTAAACCTGACAGGAAATATTTGATGACCAGAGGCGAAAACCCGTAGGAAGGTAATCTTTCCGCGTCCATACTAGATGCAACAGTTTCATCAGAACCAAATCGTGATCTTCCATTTGTTCGACATGCCGGTTCTGGGCTTAGCCGGTTGCCATTGACGACAAAAAGGAAATAGAAAATTGCAGGTACGTTTTCCTGATCATCCAGTGTGGAGCTTCTTTGGCAGAGGCCACATCTGGAGATCCCTCTGCCCCCTGCTGAAATTGATGTTCTGGGAAGATACTAACAACAGCAGAATAAGAAAACCACGAGCGTTCGGTGTTGAAAATGAGACTCAGAGAAATTCAAGAAACTGCGGAAAAAGAAACTTCGAGTGTTAGAAGTTTTACATCTCTTCAGATGTTTCACACACACACACTCAGATCGACATAGGTACAGAAAGAGTCACGTAGAGGTTAAGTTTCAAATCGTTTCAAAGTGATGCTTTTGATGTTATTATCGTTATTTATATGATATACTGTACTTGTTCTGAATGATCTCATCTCCAACCCTTGTGTTTCCAGCAAAAGCACAAAGACCCTGCTAGAACCCCAGATAGGGGGACACAACCAGCAAGATATATGGTGAAATATGCTGTCACTTGCAAGTGCAATGACTGCAATGACCAGCTCTTTTTCATGCATCATTCCTTTGAATATTGCACTTGCTTGCATGTATTACATGCATATGTGCATACGCGCATGCGCACGTACATGTATAGATGTAGACGCACACACAGGCACATACATGTAACATCCATACATGTGTACATGTATACATTTGTACATACATATAAACACACACAGACACATCTATGTATATATATATACACACATACATATAGATATATACCAAAAACATAAATATTAAAAACACCGTTCAACATTTGTCAAAAACATAGTAAATTACAGTACAAAATTACGAAAGATAGTTCTTTTTTGGTAAGGGGCTACCATATTATATATATATAATGTATTCTAAATTATATTTTTCTTCTTTATGCACGTGTATACATGTATATATATATATATATATATGTATGTAATGTAATATAATGTAATGTAATGTAATGTAATGCAATGTAATGTAAGTATGTATGTATGTATGTATGTACTGCAATGCAATACCATGCAATGCAATCTAATGTAATGTAATGGTATGGTATGTAATGGTATGTAATGATATGTAATGGTGCAATGGCATGTAATGGTATGTAAAGGTATGTAATATATGTAATGCATGTAATGTATTGTAATGTATTGTAATGTATTGTAATGTATTGTAATGTATTGTATGGTATGGTGTGGTATGGTGTGGTGTGGTATTGTATGTATGTTATGCATTCAAGTATGTATGTATGTATGTATGTATGTATGTATGTATGTATGTATGTATGTAGGTACGTAGGTACGTAGGTACATAGGTACGTATTGTTATGTATTGTTATGTATTGTTATGTTATGTTATGTTATGTTATGTATGTATATTTGTATGTATGTGTATGTATGTGTATGTATGTAATTAATGTATGTATGGAATTAATGTATGTATGTATGTATGTAATGTATGTGATGTAATGTCATGTAATGTAATGTAATGCAATGCAATGCAATGTAATGTAATGTAATGTATGGTATGTATGTATGTAGGTAGGTAGGTCGGTGGGTGGGTGGGTGGGTTGGTGGGTTGGGTGGGTGGGTAGGTAGGTAGGTAGGTGGGGAGGTAATGTATGCATGGTATGTAATGTAATGTATTGTAATGTAAGGGATCTATATCAAGGAAGGGAAGGGAAGGAAGGGAAGGGAGAGGAAGGGAAGGGAAGGAAGGGAAGGAAGGCAGGGAAGCAAGGGAAGGAAGGGAAAGAAGGGAGGTTCCGGAGAAGGTTCCGGAGAAGGTCTGGGAGGCTTTGGTGCAGCCAGGTCAGGTTCAACAGGGTTCCGGAGAAGGTTCCAGAGGTCTGGGAGGCTTTGGTGCAGAGGTTCAAGAGGGTTCCGGAGAAGGTTCCGGAGAAGGTTCCGGAGAAGGTTCCAGGAAGCCTTGGTGCAAAGCCAAGTCAGGTTCAACGGGTTCCGGAGAAGGTTCCGGAGAAGGTCTGGGAGGCTTTGGTGCAGAGCCAGGTCAGGTTCAACAGGGTTTCGGAGAAGGTTCTGGAGAAGGTTTGGGAGGCTTTGGTGCAGAGCCAGGTCAAGTTCAACAGGGTTTTGGAACCTTCGGAGAAGGTTCCGGAGAAGGTGTGGGAGGCGTTGGTGCAGAGCCAGGTCAAGTTCAACAGGGTTCCGGAGAAGGTTCCGGAGAAGGTGTAGGAGGCGTTGGTGCAGAGCCAGGTCAGGTTCAACAGGGTTCCGGAGAAAGTTTCCGGAGGCTTTGGTGCAGAGCCAGGTGAGGTTCAACAAGGTTCCGGAGAAGGTTCCGGAGAAGGTGTAGGAGGCGTTGGTGCAGAGCCAGGTCAGGTTCAACAGGGTTCCGGAGAAAGTTTCCGGAGGCTTTGGTGCAGAGCCAGGTGAGGTTCAACAAGGTTCCGGAGAAGGTTCCGGAGAAGGTGTGGGAGGCGTTGGTGCAGAGCCAGATCAGGTTCAACAGGGTTCCGGAGAAGGTTCCGGAGAAGGTGTGGGAGGCTTTGGTGCAGAGCCAGGTCAGGTTCAACAGGGTTCCGGAGAATGTTCCGGGAAGGTTCCGGGAGGCTTTTGTGCAGAGCCAGGTCAGGTTCAACAGGGTTCCGGAGAAGGTTCTGGAGAAGGTCTGGGAGGCTTTGGTGCAGAGCCAGGTCAGGTTCAACAGGTTTCCGGAGAAAGTTCCGGAGAAGGTTCCAGGAAGCCTTGGTGCAAAGCCAAGTCAGGTTCAACGGGTTCCGGCGAAGGTTGCAGAAGCCAGGCCAGGTGAGGTTTTTTTTATTCACGGACGCTTCAGAAAGATTTGTAAAAATAAAACGCAGCGGCTGTTGGGGATACTGCCGAAGCCTTTTTTTGATTGGAATAATATTTTTCCCCAACAGCAAAACTTTGCTATGGGGTCTTTAGCCCATAGGTTCTAGAGGGTTTTGGTGCAGGTACCTGTTGAGGTTCCGGAAGTTTCCGGTGCAGCTATCTGATGAGGTCTCGGAGGGTCTAGGTGAAGATGCGTGGTGAGGTTTTGGAGGGTTCCGGGGCAGATAACTTGTGAGGTTCCGGAAGGTTCCGGTGCAGAGACCTTGTGAGGTTCCGGGGGGTTTTGGCGGAGAAGATGCTTGGTGAGGTTCCGGAGGGTTCCGGTGCAGATACCTTGTGAGGTTCCGGAGGGTTCTGGTGCAGATGCGTTGTGAAATTCCAAAGGGTTCCGATGTTTTTTTCTGGCATAAGCACTTAATTTTTATGGCATACGCGTTTAATTTTTATGGCATAAGCACTTTTTATGGCAAAAACATATAAGCTTTCAAGCTGTTGGGGATAGCACCTGAGTTTATTTTTTGATGCGCTTATCGTAATGTAATGTAATGTAATGTAATGGAATGTAGCGCCCATTGTCTGCGTCACGCGGCGTCGAGGTGATCGATGCGGCGTCGTGCATGGCAAATCCCGTCGTGGGTGTCAAATCTCCGTCGATGCCCGTTTTTTGGCGCGGAGTGGTGGTTGCGCTTTTTTCTTGTAACGAAGACAAACAATGGATTTTTTACAAAAGGTTTTGTTGAAATGATTGACCGGGAAATGGCGGGGTTTGACCGGGAAATGGCGGTGATTGACAGGGAAATGGCGGGGATTGACCGGGAAATGGCGGGGATTGACCGGGAAATGGCGCGGAAACCAAAATGGGTCCCGACGATGCTACTCTTGTTACACTTTGCTGTTGCTGGTGCCAACGCGCGACTTTGAAGCATGAAGATCCATGAAGCCAAAATTGCGACGAGCATGTCGATTTGTAGGCGAGGGTGGCGAAGAGTGACCGACCTTGCTTGACGTAGACGTTGGATGACGTTGGGTGGTCAGGCACACTCATATTGGTGGTAACTCAGGCCATTTTAGAAGCAAGTTTAGAAGTTAAACTTCCGACAGTACGGACAGCTGGAAAAGCAAGATAGAAAAGCAGAGGTGAAGAGAAGAAGAAAGAAGATCAGAGAAGAGAAAGTCAGAAGAAAGAAGATCCAGGTGCCCGAAAAGGTAGGAAAGTCGCGAAGCACTGTGTTTTTCCAATGTTTTGGGGCTGCGGAGGGTTGATGAAAAATGTACGCCGTTGTGGCGCGAAGCACATTTTGAAGTCAACATGTACAAAGCACCTCATGTTAGGAGCGCTTGTCGAAGTTGCGATGTTCAAAAAGTTCACGCGGTTGTGGCGCGAAGCACATTTCGAAGTCAAAAGGCGCAAAGCGCCTCAGTCTCAAAGCGCTTTTGGAAGTTGAGATGTTGAAAAAGTGCACCTTTGTGGCGCGAAGCACATTTCGAAGTCAAAATGTAGAAAGCACCGTCGTGTCGGAGCACTTTTGGAAGTTGAGATGTTGAAAAAGTGCATGCCGTTGCGGTGCGAAGCACATTTCGAAGTCAAAATGGGCAAAACGCCTCAGTGTCGGAGTTGAGATGTTGAAAAAGTGCATGCCGTTGGCGCGAAGCACATTTCGAAGCCAAAAGTGTTAAAAACTGACGGTCCCGGACCACGTTTGGACGTTCAGATGTTGTTTCGCGTAGCAGGCGCAAGGGATTCGGTACCTTGCCAAAAGTGAGCAAATGTGAGGGTTTTGTAGCAGTTTCGGGCATGGCACATTTGAAGAGATCTGCAAAGATGCATTTCGCGTGGCAGGCACAGTACAAGAGACAACATGTTCATCAGAGATTGTTAGGAGGTCAGGGCGCAGATTTCTTGAGAGGGGTTGCATTTTGGAGCGTCAGATCTTCAGGGATGCTAAGATGATTTTGCGTGACAGTGCAGCACTTCGTATGACCTCGCCTCACTGTTTCGTGGCAGGGGGGTACTTTAGGCTCTGCACTGAACTTTCCCTTTTTGAAGGAAGTCAGATAGATAGTTAGATAATCAGATAGATAGATAGATGGATGAATAGAGACATGGATAGATAGGAAGATGGGCAACCCGACAATCCAAGCATGTGTCGATCCATCAGTGGTTCGCTCTGCCATCCGTGATTCACAACAGCCAACCTCTCCTATAGGTTTCCTATTTTCGAAACTTCCGCCACCGCCTTGTGCGGTACTACTGGTATACGGTATACATATGTACAAGCAAGAGTATGCACACATGTGTATAGATTGAATAGATAAATCGATGGATGGATGGATGGATAGATAAATGGATAGATTGATGATAGATGGATTGATGGATTGATAGGTTGGTAGATTGATAAATTGATGGATTGGTAGATAGATGAATGGAGGACTGGATAGAAGGATAGATGGACAGACAGACAGATGGATGGACAGATGGACGGACGGACAGATGGATGGACGGACGTATGGACGGATTGGCAGACCAACAGACAAAGGGATAGATAGACAAACGGACAGCCTATTTACACCCGCATAAGCCCGTATAACCACACCCTTGCTGTCCTTGCCCGGGTAAGCGGGAAAGGATGAAACAGATATGCTGTGCTATTGGCTCAGTTTGTGAGCCAGAAGCAAGGGTGCAAGCATGGGACAGGCATCAGAGAAAATGAGGAAGGCTGGACCCATTCCATAGTTGCAAGCTAACAATCATCCCAGTTTACATCCGGGAATCTTACTCTTGTTTTACGTTTCGAGAACCAGATTTCCGCAGTATCGCTGCTTTGTTCCCGAGAGCGTCTGAGCGCAGGGTTCTTCCAATAGTGGGGGTCTGTATCTCATCTTCTCATCTTCACACCTTCTCATCGTCACACCTTCTCATCTTCACACCTTCTCTCACACCTTCTCATCTTCACCTTCTCATCTTCACACCTTCTCATCTTCACATCTTCTCTCACACCTTCTCATCTTCACATCTGCTCATCTTCACATCTTCCCATCTTCACATCTTCTCACACCTTCTCTCACACCTTCTCTCACACCTTCTCATCTTCACATCTGCTCATCTTCACATCTTCTCATCTTCACATCTTCTCATCTTCACACCTTCTCATCTTCACATCTGCTCCTCTTCACATCTGCTCTTCTTCACACCTTCTCTCACACCTTCTCTCACACCTTCTCATCTTCACACCTTCTCATCTTCACACCTTCTCTCACACCTTCTCATCTTCTCTCTCTCTCACTCTCTCTCCTCTTTCCTCTCTCCTTTCTCCCTTTTCTCTCTCTCGCCTTCTTTATCTTTCTCTCTTTAGGCCGAGGGTGGTGCCGGCGGGGAGTCACGAAACGTGAACCCTTTCGCACGAAATGAGGGTCCATCGGCAAAAACTGAGGTAAAATTGCGATTTTACTTGTGCCGGAGCAACCCTTTCGCACGAAATGAGGGTCGATCGGCGAAAACTGAAGTAAAATTGCGATTTTACTTGTGCCGGAGCAACCCTTTCGCACGAAATGATGGTCGATCGGCAAAAACTGAGGTAAAATTGCGATTTTACTTGTGCCGGAGCAACCCTTTCGCACGAAATGATGGTCGATCGGCAAAAACTGAGGGGAGCAACCCTTTTGCACGAAATGATGGTCGATCGGCAAAAACTGAGGTAAAATTGCGATTTTACTTGTCCTGGAGCAACCCTTTCGCACGAAACGAGGGTCGATCGGCGAAAACTGAGGTAAAATTGCGATTTCACTTGTCCTGGAGCAACCCTTTCACACGAAATGAGGTTCGATCGTGGAAAACTGAGGTAAAATTGCGATTTCACTTGTGCCGGAGCAACCCTTTCGCACGAAATGATGGTCGATCGGCAAAAACTGAGGTAAAATTGCGATTTTACGTGTCTGTGCGTAAAAGCGTCCGTGTGTAAACGTGTTAGTGTGTAAAAGCGTCTGTGTGTAAAAGCTTTTGTGTGACTATGTGTAAAAGTTTTTGTGTGTAAAAGCGTCTGCGTGTAAATGCTTCTGTGTGTAAAAGCTCCTGTGTGTAAAAGGCTCTTTGTTAAAAGTGTCTGTGTGTAAAAGTGTCTGTGTGTAAAAGCATCTGTGTAAAAGCGTATGTCTGTAAAAGCTTCTGTATGTAAAAGCTTCTGTGGGTAAAAGGTTTGTGTGTAAAAGTGTCAGTGTAAAAGTGTCTGTGTGTAAAAGCATCTGTGTGCAAGCGTATGTGTGTAAAAGCTTCTGTATGTAAAAGCTTCTGTGGGTAAAAACTTTGTGTGTAAGAGGGTCTGTGCGTAAAAGGGTCTGTATGTAAAAGCGTCTGTGTGTAAAAGCTTTTGTGTGTAAAAGTGTTTGCGATGCAAACTATTGTCTTGCACTTCTCCTATTTTGTCTTAATACTCCTCTTCTCGACTGCATATAGCACATCTTTAATATATTGTTTTTAATATGGTGTCTCCATACTAACAAGAGAAGACCCTGCTCCTCTACGCTCTTGGGCCATCCGTCGTCTAGTTAGTTTATTCTTTGGCAGAAAATTGCTGCTGGTGTCTCCCAAAGCTTGAAAACATGTCATTGGCATGAAGTAAATGTGTACCACTACGAAGTTGCAGACATGCAAGCAGTGTAAGCACCGTTTCAATCTTGAACCCGTCTCCTGCGCAGATCATGTGTTTTTTCCACCTTGCGAAGCGGGAGAACCGCGTTGATGTCAAGAAACTGAATGCGGTTGTGCCAGACCCAGGCAACGTTTTGAATTTCTACAGGTTTCAGATGGTTTTGTTTCCTTTGCGAAATATGGCACTTGAAAATATGATATGCCTTGTGCCACGACACTGATATCACGTTGAAACTGGTTGGCGCAAGAATCTGGTCCAGACCTGATGTGTGACCATTCTCACCAGGTACACATATTGCCATACTTTGATGAGACCACGCACGACTCACACACACACACACTAAAAAGCGCCAAAAGAGATCAGCTGTTAAGCAGGCCCACCACGGCCAGAAGGGGCCTCCTCCAAGGTTTCTTGACTTCGAACCAGTGGACGATTTTGCGGTTTCTTTGTCCATTTGCGGCCCTGGTCCTCACGTAAATCCATAATGTAGATTCATGCAAATCCTACTTTGACATCATTTCTGTGGGCCAGCATGAAGGTGGGCCATTGACATTCTTCCAATGTTTTTTTTGAAACTGTGGGATTGCGGATTGCAAGCAGTTTTATCAATACAAGATTGTTCCGGCAACCGGCTTGCAAGACCAGCTATGAAACCAGTCGTTCTGCTAGGTGGCACACTTTGCTGGTAACCAGTGTGTCCAAATTCCAACGAACCCAGATCAACTAACAGTCCGGCAACTCTGAGATGGTATCATATTCTTGAACGTTATAAAACACATGAATTTGCAGATTTCAAAGAAGTGTATACCTGGGCTTTTTCACAATGGAGATATACGGCTAGCGGCATGTAGCTGTGAACTCTGTGAGGCACTGGAGGACCTTGGGCATGCAATCTATTCGGGAAGAACTTCAAGGGCGCTTAGATCGCTTCAAGGCGAGTTGGATGAGTTGGATGAGTTGGATGATGCTGTCTTCCTGGAAATCGTTCCTTGGCATCTCGAGACAGGGATGGGTTGCACCTTGGAGATCATCATCTTTTTGCTGGAAGTTGCTGCTCACACTAATTTGTCAGGCTAGTGATCGTGATGTCAGAAAGTTCGTGGTTCATGTTCCACACATTGACAACCTGAGCAAAAGGCTTATCTGATAAACCGAGAGACCAAGAAGTTGAACTACGCCAAGGAAAGAAAACTTAAACATTGGGAACTCTGTTTCGGGAATCGAGCATACCCATGGAAGAAAAATCTATTCCAAAACTGAGTGCAGAGGCAAGTCTGGTTAAGATCGAAATACAGATGCCTATCCATCAAAACAAAAGAATTCTGGGCAGATGCATTGATGTTTCAGTGATCACACCTGGATACTTGAGGTATTTGCCAATTTTCGATATCAGTCCTTAGTGGTACTCCGCGTGTACGGCAATTGACATCACTGAGGGCTTGCATTGTCTGCTTGTAGGGTTGAAAGTTGCAAAAGTGGAAACGAGGAGAGATGAAGCACTTAAGTCCCTTGTCACATCCACACCTGCATGCAGCACTGGGACACATCCGCAAAGACACCCACACACAGATCCGAGGAGTCGAGATGTTCCAGTCTGCCTGGTTAAAACCTGCACAAAACATGCATCCAATGAGGGAACCTCCCAACTCATGAGTAGCTTCGTAGCAGACCGATGCCGGCTCAAACCCTTAGACTCACAAAGCTAGTGTGCCCGCAGGATCTAGGTGGTTCTCCAATGTCCGAAAACATGAGTACGGTTGAAATCGGAATGCTACTCGCACAGGCAGAAGCAACCAGCAGCGGGCAGGGTGCCATGCATTGATATGCATGGTTAGACCTTCGCGCAACAACACCCTTTTTGTTTTCAGGCGAGCGCAGTGCAGGACTGGGAATGGAGGCCCACGTAGGCCCACTAAGCTCACTTCTGTGTGACTTTCTCGCATTTATGCCGGCTCTTTGAGGTTGAGAAAGCTGAAGAGTCCGTCACGTTACCTGGCGCTGTCGAGCACGTTGCTCCTCCTTCGAATGCTCCAGCTGAAGAGGAGTGCTTGGGTGATGGGTCATGAGTGTGCACCCAACTGCCTGGGAGCTGCACCTCTTCAGATGGGCACCACTTCAGAGCTTTTGTGGATCACCTTGTGAGGGTAGTGCGGGTAGTGCAAAAGAGAAAACACATTCAGGTTGCCTGGTGGGTGCTGTACGCAAATGTCGCAACACAGTGTCATACATCATTTCTTCTTCAAGAGTGTTGTACGTGGGCGGGTTGCAGGAGTGTTGCACAAATGTGGCGCAAAGAAAGTGTGTTGTGAGAGCGTTGTAAAAGCGCGCTCTGTGGCAGTCCTCTTTAGTATCTTTTTTTTGGTAAAGAGACCGTCTACAAGAGTCTTGTAAAAACGTATCCTACAGAGTGTACCACAGGAGCGTCACTCAAGAGCGTCGGAAAAACGTGTGATCTACAAGTGTGTTGATGAATAAAGCTCTACTGGTGTAAAAGTTGTAGTGTGTTGATGAAGAGAGTTTTAAAGCAGTGTTCTACAAGAGTGGTGCCAAGTGCTCTACAAATATTCAAATTAGGGTTGGTGAGTTATTTCTGTGCTCTCCCCTTCAACAAATAGACCTTGTGTGGGGCCTGGGATCTTGGCCCTACTCCCCAACAACAATCTTTGACAAGTGTGGTAGTGTTTCATGTGCCAGATTTTTTTTTGCGGGACCAACAATTTAAAATTGCTAAAGTAGTTGGACTGCGGTTGATAGATGCAAGTGGTGTTTAGTGTGTTTTCTGCCTACTTTTTCTGGGGTGGGTTCGGAGTGTGGGGGTTGTAATAACGTTCGCTTCTTGAAGGGTCGTGGAACTGCTCTACAGGATGGATGCTATGCCAGGAATGCAAAGCAGCCTGACCGTTTGCAAGACAGAAAAAGACAATGTGGTGCGGAAAAAAACGCATACAACAAAAGTAGCTGGGCGGTAAGAATGAATACTTTCACGATTTTGTAAATGGAATCACCAGGCCAATTGTTTTGAGCCTTCAGACTACACAAACACACATCAATGCCTTTGTTCGTGGTAGTAAGGTGGTCGTAGTAGGTGGTAGTAGTAGGTGGCGGTAGTAGGTGGTGGTAGAAGGTGGTGGTAGTAGGTGTTGGTAGTAGGTGGTGGTGGTAGTAGTGGTAGTAGTAGTGGCGGTGGTGGTGGTGGTAGTAGTAGTAGTAGTAGAAGTAGAAGTAGTAGAAGTAGTAGTCGGCGTCGTCGTCGTTGTCGTCGTCGTCGTAATAGTGTTTTTGCCATAAACCCTTTTTCCCTTACGCGCCCCCCTGCGTCGCCCGGGGTCGGCAGATATATAAATATTTATTTAATATCAAAATACGTATATAGGTGTTTACACATTTACATACACACACACACAAACATACATGTACACATACACATACACATGCATGCATGCATGCCTACATACCTAGCTACATACATACGTACGTACGTACGTACGTACGTACGTACGTACGTACATACATACATACATATATATATGTATATACGTATGTAATTAAAAAATAATTTTATGCATATATCGATATATAATCTTCATATATATATATGTATATGTATATGTATATAAATGTATATATGCACAAAATATATATATATATATATGTATTCGCACATGTATACACATCTTTTGAAAACATGTCTCCATGCATGTATGTATATTTAAATTCACACACACATATACATATTCAAAAATAAATATATGGACTATTAACAAATATATATAGACTATATATATAGAGTATATATATATAAACTATTTATAGACTCTACATTCTATATACAGACTATATATTTGCAACATACATACATACATACATCCATACATACATACACATACCTATATATGGTAGGTCCTGTGGGGTGGCATATGTATATAAAGATATATACATATATATATATATAATTACATATATTTATTTTCCTATGGACACCATTGCTGTCAGACAATTGGTGAGTGTCAAAATGCACTGGCTCGGCAGTCAAACCGGGCCAAAACAACGAAGCAGAAGGCCATAGGCAAGGAAAACATTTGTTGATTCAGAAATGGGTTCCGAGAACAAACTATCCAAACAAAGATTCCTTGTCGTTTAGACTGATGAAATATTTTGAAATTTAAAGATACTCCCAGCTGGAAAGATGCCGGAAGATTCATATCGGTGCTTCGAGTCATAGGGTTGGAAAGGGGGGTTAAAACATACCATAGACAGTTGGAGATGTATCCGCTAAAACATCGCTTGATGACAGGACTTGTGTGGAAAAAGCATTTACGCGATGCTTTGCGAGGACCGTGACAGTGACCAATGCCAATAGGAGTACGTTCCCCAGAAAATTACGAACATTTTTCTCTTGAAGTCTCCACTGAACCGGCCATGCCATGTACTCATAAAACTAAATGGATCGAAATCAGGGTGAAACTGCAAAGTGAGAGTGGCGCGGGATGCCTGAAGAAAAAATTGCCGTTGCAGGAACATAGTGATTATTAGCTGCAGCGAACCGTGTTTACGCTGATATTTTTGTCGAGAGCTTAACAGGCATTAGATTCATGAGGTCATTTGCCTTCGCAAGGCATTTTCCCAAATGTGATTAGTGCATCCCTGGCTGCCTAGCTCAGATTAATTGTCGAAGGAAGTTTAGAAGTCAAACTTCCGACAATATGGACAGATGAAAAGCAGAGTAGGGCAGAGGCAGAGAGAAGAGAAAGATTAGAAGAGAGAAGAGTAGAAGAGAAATAGTCAGAAGAAAGAAGATGCAGATGCGCGAAAAGGTAGGAAAGTCGCGAAACACTGTGTTTTTTTAATGATTTGTGGCTCCGGAGGGTCGAAAAGTAGGCTCTCTAAAGCGGCGGGTG